TTGACTTTTGAAGCATAGCTTCATTTTACATGGTGTTTTTAAATTTTTATTTGTTTTTATTTCTTTTTGGGACAGTCAGGCTGTGTAACCCAGGCTGGACTGCAGTGGTGTGATCATGGCTCACTGCAGCCTCAACCTCCCAGGCTCAATTGATCCTCCATTCAGTCCTCCTATCCCAGTCTCCCCAGTAGCTGGTACTACAGGCATGCACTACCTTGCCAAGCTAATTTTTTTTTTTCTTTTTTTTTTTTTGATAGGGACAGAATTTTGTCATGTTGCCCAGGCTGGTCTCAAATGCCTAGGCTCAAGTAATCTGCCCGCTTTGGCCTTGCAAAATGCTTAGATTACAGGTGTGAGCCACCACGCCCAGCCTTTTGTGTTTTAAAACTTTTTCTTTTGGAATACTTTTAAATTTATGTAGAAGTTTCAAAGATGGTTTAGAGAATTTCTGTATAACTTTTAATCAGCCTCCACTAATGTTGCCACCAAATATAGCCAGCGTATGTTTGTCATAACTATGAGATTTAACATTTGTATTACAGTATTATTACCATTATTTGAACTACAAACTTTATTTTGGATTTCACCAGTTATTCCATTAATGTCCTTTTTGTATTTGAGAGTCCAGTCCAGGACTTTGGATTTAGTTGTCTTGTGTCCTTAGTCTGCTGTATTCTTTTACAATTTCTTAATCTTTCCTTGTTTTTCATAACCTTGACAGTTATAAAAAGTACTGTATACAGTTCTTTTATACAGTATCCCTCTGTTTGGGTTTGTCTGATGTTTTCTTGTGATTAAACTGGCATTATGAGTTTTAGGGAAAAGATCACCAAGCAGAAGTTCTGTTTTCATCATACCATATTAAAGAGTGCATGCCATGAATGAGACATATCACTATGGATGTTAACCATGATCACTTGGCTGAGGTAGTGTTTGTCAGGTTTCTCCATTGTCAGTTTGTTCCCCATCCCTTTTATGGTCTGTTCTTTTCACGTAAGTTACCAAGGTGAGCTCATACTCAAGGGAAGGAAGATTCATTTTTATCTTTGGAGAAGGGAGTATATGCATTATTTGGAATTCATCTATCAGGACCATGTGTCTCTTCTTTCCATTTATTTATTTATTCAATCATTTGTTTTTATCAGTATGGATTTAGGATTGTTTATTTTATTTAGGAGTTAGAACCTAATGCTAATGTTTTTATTTTTGCTAAAATTGTTCTAACTTTGGCCATTGGGAATTTTTTCAAGTTGGCTTCTATTACCTTTTGACATGCCCCCATCTTTAAAAAAGTAGTAATAATTTTCTTGCATTCTGACCCTATATGTTACACCAGGTTCAGGGTGTTTTTTCTGTATCTACCTTAGAAACAGTCATTTCTTCTAGGAGTCCTGGCTCCTTTTATTAGAGAGAACGGTATTTAGAAACCAAGATCTAGTTGTAGGTGTGCTTGTTGCTAGTGGGATGTCATTGCTTCTAGACCCTCTAAGAAAGCAGCCGCTCTCTATAATAACCCATGTTACAACACATACCTGTCCATCTGTATATGCATTAAATAAAAGTGAGTTTACACTGGTATATCTTACTCTAACCTAGCACCACAGAGTTCATTGTATCTTTCCTCTTTTGCTTATTTGTAACTTCTTTTTCTTACAGGGAGAAACCTTGTTTCCATTATCTACTGTTTATTTAGTATGTTTTTAATCCCAGAATATATGTAAAGAAGTTTTATGTATACTGATAGTTTGCTCATTAAGAATTATTTCCTTCTCTTCATGATATTTCTGAAACTTTTTTTTTTTTTTTAACGATGGTGTTTCACCATGATGGCCAGGCTGGTCTTTAACTCCTGACCTCAGGTGATCCACCCACCTTGGCCTCCCAAACTGCTAGGATTACAGGTGTGAGTCACTGCTCCCGGCCTTCTGAAACTTTTTTTGGGGGCTTGCATTGAAGTTTTATATTTTTTAGAGAAGATTTTTGTTTGCTCATGTTAGTCACTTTGAGGCTTTTTTTTTTCCTTTAAAAATAATTTTTTTATTATGGTATAGCATACATAACATAAAAGTTACCATTTAACCATTTTTAAGTGCACATTTATACAATTCATCGGTATTAAGGACATTTACAATGTTGTGCAGCCACCGTTATTTATTTTTGCATCTTTTAAATCATTGTAAAGAAGTACCTGTGTACCTATTAAACAGTAATTCTTCATTTCTCTACTTCCTGTAGCCTCTGGTAACCTTGATTCTACTTTTTGCCTCTTCTGGGTACCTCATAAAAGTGGAATCATAAAATATTTGTCCTTTTGCATCTGGCTTATTCCACTTAGTATACTGTTTTCAAGATTCATCCATCTTGTATCCTGTATCCAGTTTGTATCCTTTTAAGGCTGAATAACATTCCATTGTGTGTATGTGTGTACACGTACACAAATACTGCATTTTGTTTATTAATCTGTTGATAGACATTTGGGTTGCTTCCACCATTTAGCTTACTGTGTGAATAATGCTACTATGAACGTTGGCATACAAGTGTCTGATTGAGTACATGCTTTTGTTATTGTATATGTCTACCTAGAAGTGAAATTGCTAGATCGTATGGTAATTCTATGTTTACCTTTTTGAGGAATTGTCAAATTCTTTTCTACAGTGGCTGAACTGTTTTGCATTCCCACTAGGAATGCACAAGAGTTCCAATTTCTCCCACATCCTAGGCAATACTTGTTATTTTCCATTTTTCAAAGTAAATAATACCAGCCAGGCAGGGTGGCTCACACCTGTATTCCCAGCACTTTAAGTGGCTGAGGCATGGAGAATGGCTTGAGGCCAGGAGTTTGAGACCAGCCTGGGCAAACTGGCAAGACCTCACCTCTACAAAAAAATTTAAAAATTACCTGAGCATGGTGGCATGCACCTGTGATCCCATCTACTCCATAGGGTGAGACAGGAAGATCACTTGGGCCCAAGAGGTCAAAGCCTGCAGTGAACCATCATGGTGCCACTGTACTCCAGCTTGGGCTACAGAGCAAGACCTTGAGACAGAGAGAGAGAGAGAGAGAGAGACACACACACACACACACACAGAATGAGAGAATGAGAACGAGAGAGAGAGAGAGAGAGACAGAGACAGAGAGAGAGAGAGAGAGAGAGAGAAGCTATCCTAATAGGTAAGAAGTAGTATCTCATTGTGGTTTTGATTTGTGTTTTCTAATGGTTAGTGATGCTGAGCATCTTTTCATGGGGAGGTATTTTAATTATGGGTTTTTCATGGCCTTGTAGGTTGTGAAAATTCTGGCTACAAACTTTAGTTAATTGTGGTCTTATGATTAGGGATTTCCTAACTACCTTAGTTCATTTGGGCTGCATATTGAAGTCCATAGACTGAGTAGGTTTTAAACTTCAGACATTTCTCAGAATTCTGGAAGCTGGGAAGTTAGATCAAGATGTCCAGATTCAGTGTTGCACTTTTCACAGATGGTGCCTTCTGGCTGTCTCCTCACGCAATGGAAGGGGCGATCTTGGCTCACTGCAGCCTCCACTTCCTGGGTTCAAGGATTCTCCTGCCTTAGCCTCGCGAGTAGCTGGGAATGCTGGGCTAATTTTTTGTATTTTTAGTAGAGATGGGGTTTTACTATGTTAGCCAGGATGGTCTCCATCTCATGAACTTGTGATCCGCCCACCTCAGCCTCCCAAAGTGTTGGGATTACAGGCATGAGCTACCACGCCAGCTGGCCCCACTTCTTAATACCATCTATACCTTGGTGTTCGGATTTCATATATAAGTTTTAGGGGGATGGAAGCATTCAGACCATAGCACTGACCATTGGGTGGATGTACTTTGAATTTAGTTTGACTCAAAAAGCCAGAGCCAACCCTAAGACATCAGAATTATCCCCACTACCTCTTCAGTGAGTGTTTAGTTTTGTTTTTCTCTAGTTTACCCAGTCAGAGTATTGCCCTTTAGGTTATCTGGTTTTTGGTCTGACTTCTCATTTTTCTGGGGCCCTGAGGTTAACCTAATAAAGCCCTCGTTCTAGGACATCGGGTTTTTGGTCATATGGTACCAAGAGAGAAATGCCATCTTTGGAATTTCATTTACCTTTCCAAGTTCCCACTTTCTAGTTGTTAATGGCTTCAAGGGTTTTCATCCATGCACTTATAAAATTTTTAAAAATTCATAAAGAGGGCCGGGCATGGTGGCTTATGCCTGTAATCCCAGCACTTTGGGAGGATGAGGTGAGCATATCACGAAGTCAAGAGATGGAGACCATCCTGGCCAACATGGTGAAACCCTGTCTCTACTAAAAATACAAAAATTAACAGGGTGTGGTGGTGCACACCTGTAGTACCAGCTGCTCAGGAGGCTGAGGCAGGAGAATTGCTTGAACCTGGGAAGCGGAGGTTGCAGTGAGCCAAGATCACGCCACTGGCACTCTAGCCTGGTGACAGAGCAAGACTCTGTTTCAAAAAAAATTCATAATGAGCACATTTGGTGGTTCTGATCTAGAGTTTTTCAAATTGTCAAGTTTTAATCACATTGCCAGAACAGAAAACCTTGTTTTGTTTTTCTTCTGTTAAAAGACAGGTATCATTGAGTTCATTGAGTTTAAGGGAGAGTCCAGTAGTCTGCATATAGTTCTCATGAATCAGGCAAGCAAACTGTTTATAGGTACTTATTTCTAGAATCAGCGATCAAAGATGAGGTTTAGGGCTGATTTTATATATTCATACATATTCATGTACCCTCCATTTTTATTGCAGCTTTCTAATCTGAGCTTTGGGTAGCAAACACATGTTTGCTTACTATTAATCAGTAAAAACAGATTTTAATTTCTTCTTTTTCTCTTTGGAAGAAATCAGATGTTTACAAAAAATAGACAAAGGCAAGGAAATTAAAACAAAACCTAGAAAAAGAGAGCTTGGGAAATGCTCATATTTGTTTTATATTGAATAGCTCTATTAATGAATACTTATTACAGTTTGTTTTTATTTCAGCTTTGGCTAGATCAGAGTCTAAGAGAGATGGAGGTTTTAAAAATAATTGGAGCTTTGATCATGAAGAAGAAAGTGAAGGAGATACAGATAAAGAGTAAGGATTTTTTTTTTCCCTCAGATATTTTATAAGAATAAAACTTCTCATTAGAAAATTTCTATTCCATGGAAATATTTTTAGTAGTATGGTATTCTTAAGAAAATATTTAACTCTTTTCCAGTCACTTGAAGGAAAGAAAAATTATTCTTTATTGCTAAATAATTTTACTGTTATTTTTCTCCATCTTTTGAAATGTATATATTCATGTAATATATGTAACCTTATAATTTAAAATCGTACAATGGATCACTTTAAAATAAGGAAATTTGTTTTTTGTTTTTTAAAAAGGGACTCATTCTGTTCAGGCAGCAATTTGAAAAGCCACCATTTATCAGGAGTAAGTGAACCCAGATTAAGACCTTTGTATTTTGTATGAAAGTTTAAATACTACAGTTATCTTTCTTCCCCAGTTGTGACCACCAACCCTACCACATCCATCTTAGGTCAGATTGTCACCAGAGAAAACAGAACCATTATAAATGATAAACACAGGTGTTTACCCAGACCGAAGTTAAGCAGTGTGCATTACACTTTGTTAATCTACTTGGAATGACTGCCGTGTAAAAATTTTAAATGATAGTTTTAATAGAACTTTTTGTATGTCATGAGATTTGTTTTAAAAATTCAACATTTAGCTTTTTGGCCAGCTGTGGTGGCTCACGCCTGTAATCCCAGCACTTTAGGAGGCTGAGGCAGGTGGATCCTTTGAGGTCAGGAGTTCAAGACCAGCCTGGCCAACATGATGAGACCCCATCTCTACTAAAAGTTAATTAGCTGGGTGTGGTGGTGCACACCTGTAATCCCAGCTACTTGGGAGGCTGAGGCAAGAGAATCGCTTGAACCCTGGAGGCAGAGGTTGTAATGAGCTGAGATTATGCCATTGCATTCCAGCCTGGGCAACAGAGTGAGACTCTGTCTAAAAAAAAAAAAAAAGTCAACATTCCTTTACGTTTTTGAGTTACTGATCTGGTTTTCTTCTGGCCAAAAGAGACAACAAATTCAGAGATACCCAAATATACACACAAAGTTCTACCAAAACTATAAATATGTTAAAGAAATTTTTATACAAGAAGTCATTCAGAATATATTGGCTAAATATTGTAGGTGCTTCACTTCTGTCTGGGCAACAGCTCCGTTCATCATTACCACTTTATGTGCCTTCACCTATGAGATGTTGATTTGAAGTTTTATTTGAAGGAGAGCTTTGAACTGGTAAGTCTTTCATTTAAAGTCAGTATTTTCTGGTTTTCTTTCTTTCATTTCTTTTATATTTTTTCTGATTACTTTAAAATAATTTTTGTTATATTCAGTATGTATATAGTTTTGAAAAATTAGAATTAAATCTGAAATTAAGCTGCATAGGAAGTATACCACCTTTTACACATGTTTGTAAAATGTTTACAAAGAGAATTTTTAGCATTAAAAAATTTGGGGTGTATACAAACAGTAGTGAAAGAAAACATTTTACATTTTTATGGAAATATCTAGGACTTTACAATAAATGCCTTAGCCGATTTGTCTTCGAAAAGATTGTATTTGACTTTCTTTGGTAGCAGGTTTACTGTAGTTATACATTTTTTTTAAACTTTCAAGATTCTAGCTGTCCTGTACATTTCATTTATGAATTGTACTTTTTGGTTCATATCACTCTCAGGGCCGTCAGCTTTTTGAACATGTATCTATTAACATGAATCTGTTAATAGATACATTAGTTTAATCTTGTAGAATTTCTTTTTTTTTTTTTTTGAGACAGAGTTTCACTCTTGTTACCCAGGCTGGAGTGCAATAGCGCGATCTCGGCTTACCTCAACCCCCGCCTCCTGGTTCAGGCAATTCTCCTGCCTCAGCCTCCTGAGTAGCTGAGATTACAGGCACGCGCCACCATGCCCAGCTTTTTTTTTTTTTTTGTATTTTTAGTAGAGACGGGGTTTCACCATGTTGACCAGGATGGTCTCAATCTCTTGACCTCGTGATCCACCTGCCTCGGCCTCCCAGAGTGCTGGGATTAAAGGCTTGAGCCACCGTGCCCGGCTTAATCTTGTAGAATTTCAAACCAGTGATTTCTCATTGAATGGTTGGTATTTCCATGAGTGGTAGAAGTTTTAACTATTTTACCGTGGTAATATCACTGGAATTACTTCCTTTTCATTAGCTAAGGCTTTCTTTTCTTTCAGTTTGTCTCTTCTCCATTATTATGTTTCTCTTTCTACCCTTAATTGTCAGTCTAAGACAGAAAGGAAAAATAAAATCCATAACTAAATAAACAAAATTATGTATTTATTTATGGTAGGGTTCAGCAAACTATGACCTATAGGCTAATCTTGTCTGCCACCTAATTCAGTTAATAATTATTTGGAAAATAGCCACATATATTGTTTATGGCTTTTTTGACACAACAGAGACCATATGGCCTGCAAAGTCTACATTCTGGCCCTTTATAGAACAAGTTTGCTGATTCCCTGAATTAGGTGAACATAGAAGATAAAACCTCAGAATTTAATGTAAGGCTTGTAATTACTACTTAAGATTTTTTTCCCCTTATTTTTTTTCTCTTCTGTGTAGTAGGACAAATCTGCTCAGTGTGGATGAAGATGAGGATTCTGAAACCTCAAAAGGGAAAAAGGCAAGTGTTGTTCAAAATATTTTTTTAATATTATATACAAAAAAAATTGTTACCTCAAAAGAAGACTTAATATTTTAAAATTATAAACCCAAGTTACCCACTTTCCCTACCCTACAGGCAAATGGTGTTCCTAGTTTCTTATTTATCTCTTTGGGGATGTTTTATGCATTATAAAGAAGAAAAATATTTCCACCTGCCATGTTACACAATTGATAATAAACTGTGCATGGTTTTTCTGATCTTACTTTAACTTAATATATCTTGGAGACCATCTGTAAGGGTTCATAAAAAGCACCCTAATTCTTTTTTTTTTTTTAATGTATTCCTCTGTTTAATATAGGGAAATAACATTTTATCAATACTAGGCACCATAAAATATAAACACAATTACTGTCATAAAGCTGGATACACCTTCAAGGATTCAAAGTGGCATTATTTTAGTTACCCTGTTTGCATATAGTGCAGGAAAAGGTCTTCATGTTAGCACTGTGTACATTAAGAAGAGATACAAATTACAAGAAAGGCAGATAAAATTTTAATTCTTTAAACATTCATTAAACTAAGTTTTGGAGTAACATCCAGGTTTATCTTCCTTTCACTAAAGAAAAGCACCCTAATTCTTTTCAGTGAGTGCATAGTATTCCATTGCATTATGTATATATACCATTAACCAATACCACCTATTGATGGATATTTACAGTGTTGTTAACTTTTTAATGTTTTTCTAAAATAATGTGTAAACTTGTCTTCTATATGGGGTATTTTGCACACATACAAGCATATCTGTGGAATGAATTCCTAAAAGTAGCACTGCTTTATTAGGACTGGTCCATTTCTAATTTTGGTATACCAGATTTACACTTGTTCCAGCAACATCTGAAAGTATCTATTTCCCCACACATCTGTCATCAGCCTTTTGATCTTTGCCAATGAAAAATAGTATCTCAGTGTAGTTTTAATTTCCATTTCATTTTTTGTGAGGTTGAACATTTCATATGTATAGTCTAATTTTTTTTTTAAGTAATTGTCATTTAATATCCCTTGCCTGTTTTTCTATCTGGTCTTTAGAATATTATTCATAGGAATTCTTTTTATATTTAGTCTAAGACACACTTTTTTTTCACATTTTGCACATCTTTGAAATCTAGATGCATCTTAAAAGATAGCATGGCATGCTTTAATTATTCTAAAATATGTTTTTGGCTGGGTGTAGTGGCTAACGCCTATAATCTTAGCACTTTGGGAAATCAAGGTGGGAGAATTGCTTTAGGACAGGCGTTTGAGGCTACCTGTACAACATAGTGAGACTCCATCTCTAAAAAATAAAAAGTTTTGCACAGTAGTACATACAATAATGGTGTGTCATATAATAATTTTTTTATAGGTTTGATGAAATAAGGTATTTTGGAGAAACTATCCTTTTGCTATGATTCTAGTTGCTACTATATATACACGTGTGTGTGCATGTGCGTGTGTGTGTGTTTGAGACAAGAGTCTGGCTCTGTTGCCTTGAATAGAGTGCTGTGGCACAGTCTCAGCTCACTCCAACCTCCATCTCCTGGATTCAGCAAATTCTTACGCCTCAGCCACATGAGTAATTGGGATTACAGGCATGCAGCACCATGGCCAGCTTGTATTTTTAATAGAAACTGGGTGTCACTACTTTGGCTATTCTGGTCTTGAACTCCTGGCCTCAAGTGATCCTCCCATCTCTGCCTCCCAAAGTGTTGATATTACAGATAGGAGCCACCGCACCTGGCCATTGCTAAAATTTTAACTCAGTTTTTTCACTAGTCTTTTCTTTTTGCTTATGGTGGTTATTGCCATGAGGAAAGTATATTTCCTTATGTGATCAAAATGTATCAGTCATTTTTCTTTTGAGTCTACTGTCTTTGTTCCTAATGACGTTAATTTTATAACTTAGTTGGAGTTGGGCACAGTGGCTCATGCCAGTAATTTCCACACTTTGGGAGGCCAAGGCAAGCAGTTCACTTGAGGTCAGGAGTTTGAGACCAGCCTGGTCAACATGGGAAACCTTATCTCTACTAAAAATAGAAAAATTAGCCAGGCGTGATGGCAGGTGCCTGAAGTACCAGGTACTTGGGAGGATGAGGAAGGAGAATTGCTTGAGCCCGGGAGGCAGAGTTTGCAGTGAGCTGAGGTTTTACCATTGCACTTCAGCCTGGGTGATAGAGCAAGATTCCGTCTCAAAAAAAAAAAAAAAAACCCCACGTATTTGTTTTGTCTTATTAGATATATAAAATAGTTTCACAATAGATTTTTAAATTATTTTGTTTCCTTGTTTGTTTTTAATGACGCTACCAGGTATATGTGTCCCACTAGGAATGTGTGTTTAAATTACTATATTTTTAAGTCATTTGAAATTGTTTATTTCTGTCTGGTATTCTGCCAACCGAATAGAGAGTTAGGTTTTTTTTTTTAAATAGGAGGAATTGCATTTTATTTTTATTTTAATTTAATTTTGATTATGTAATTTTTTTGCTTGGTTTCAGCATCACATCTCAAAATAAGTAATTTTCAGAGAAATCTAATTTTTGTCTTGATTGCCTTTATTCTTTTCTTTTCCTTAGAAGCAACTTGTTTTCAAAATTATGTGACTTAGGTTTTTTTTTTTTTTTTTTTTTTAAACAAGCATATACCACCTTTCTTGGAAGAACTATCCACACTTTGCTGACACCTTGATTTTCTTACTTAAGATGTTATATAGTTCACTGTACAGTAAAATGTTTACAGATCTTTATCATCCTTTTTATTGTTACATAGTACTCCATTGGATGGATATACTGTAGATATTTAGTTTGTCCCTATGGATAAATAGAGATTTTCCCCCAGCCTTTTGCTATTACACATAGACTTTAATAAAAGCTTGTGCATATACATTTTTTTATATCTGTGTAGTCTATTTGTGGGATAGATTCCTAGAATTGCAGTTGCTATTTCAGAGCTGAAATTCACGTGTAATTTTGTTATATAATGACAAATTCCCTATCTGTAGGTATTAACATTAGCCATCCCCGCTAGCAATGTATGATTCTGTTTCCCAATAATCTTGCAAAATATGTGGTCAAACTTGAATTTTTGCTGATCTGAAAATAGCACCTTCTTCACGTATTTCCTGTACTTACAGTGTAAGAATTAAAAGAACTTTTACATTTACTTTTTCACCCTGTCTTTCTGTTTTTTTTTCTCTTTGCAACAGCTGTATTTTGTCATAATTTAAGGAAGTTTTATTGATTGATTGATTGAGATGGAGTCTCACTCTTTTGCCCAGGCTGGAGTGCAGTGGCATGACATAGGCTCACTCCAACTTCCTTCTCCTAGGTTCAAACAATTCTCCTGCCTCAGTCTCCTGAGTAGCGGGGATTACAGGCGGGTACCACTACACCTGGCTAATTTCTGTATTTTGGTAGAGATGGAATTTCACCATGTTAGTCAGGCTGGTCTTGAACTCTTGACATTAAACGATCTGCCCACCCTGGCCTCCCAAATGCTGGGATTACAGGCGTGAACTTCCATGCCTGGCCTGAGGAAATTAATTGAATTTGATGTTTTTTTCTTAATACTATTAAGCTTTTCTTTATGAAGTTACTCACACGGAAAAATTCTTAAGGTTTTTCCCCCCTGCAGGTTTCCCTAGCTTTTATTTTAACATCTGGATTTTCTAAAGTGCTGCTTTTTAGGTGTTCTTTAGATAGACAAGAAAAAAAAGAAAAAAAGGAGTTAACTTGGTAAATGAAAATAAACGATGTGTCCAGGCATATGTTGTCTTTCGCTTATAATCCCAGCACCTTGGTAGGATGAAGTGGGGAAATTGCTTGATGCCAGGAGTTTGAGATTGGCCTGGGCAACAAAATGAGACTCTACCAAAAAAAAAATAAAAGATGTTTTCTATCACTAACTTATGCAGGGCATTGGTCTTCATGCACATATAGATAGCTTTCATATTTCTTACGATTTTTGGTAAAAGCATATGCTTTATTACTCCTGAGTAGCTGAGATTACAGGCAGGTGCCACCGCACCTATTATATTTTTTTAAATGTAAATATTTATGTTTTAAAGTAAAACCTACAGGACACATTTATTTATTTAGTGAACTCTAAAGATCATTCTGATTTGATAGTATCATCTATTTTAAATATACATGAACCATCTCTTCTTAAGCAGAAATTTTATATTGTGCCTTTTCCCGCTTAAATTCATATTTCTTTTGTTCAGTTTCCCATAAAATTTTAACTTAATGTGATATACTTTTATGTAATTGAAAATCCTATTATCCTATTATACTGTAATAAAGAGATATTCTTCACTGAAAATAAACTTCACTTAACGTTAAATAAAACTGATACTGAACAGTTTATTTAAAAAAACAATTATAATTATTGAACATTTGATCTACAAATATTACAGATATTTATAATTATTAAATTTATTGTGCAAAATAATACTGGAAATTTATCTTTTAAAATGGGTGAGCTGATGGTATCCCTTTTTATTCATTTAGTTCATCCTGTTCATAAATCTGTATTACCTGAAGGAAACTTGCAGAGCAATTCTACTCTTTTTTAAAAATTGACACATAACAATTGTATCTATGGAGGGAAATTTCTTTTTAAAATTTTTTTTTAGATACAAGTGCTGAGAAATCCTGATTACATACTAAATATATGAATATGGAAATAGTTTTCCTATAGTATTATCATACAATTCTTTTTGAGACAGAATCTCACCCTGTTTCCCAGGCTGGAGTGCAGTGAGGCAATCTGGACTCACTGCAAACTCCTTCTCCTAGGCTCAAACGATCTTCCCTCAGCCTCCCTAGTAACTGGAACTACAGGCTCCCACCACCATGCCCAGATAATTTTTGTATTTTTAGTAGTGATGGGGTTTTGCCTTGTTGACCAGGCTGGTCTCGAACTCCTGACCTCAAGTGATCCACCCACCTTGGCCTCCTAAAGTGCTGTAATTACAGGTGTGAGCC